CCTTTCCCTTGGACACAGCTGGAGCACATTCCTTTTCTTCTGCTTCCTCCACTTCTGTGATCCCCAGAGATCCCAGAGCCACTTTAGCCATCATTTTAGCCCCAAAAAAGGTTGTGGGGAGGAGAGTTCAAGAACAGGAGCCCGGGTGGACCTGGCACTGGTTGCTGGGGAGGTGTAGCCATGAGAGGTGTGTCGTGCCATGAGTCACAGCACGTCCCATAATGCCCTGTACAGACCCACCTGGCACCAAAACAGGCTCTGTTTTTAGCAAAGGGATAAAAACACCTCTCTGTGAGAGGGAGGGGAGATCCCAGCTCCAGGTGATGGTGCTCAGTGGTGATGATGGGAGAGGGAGGGAGGCAGGGGGAGGAGGGAGGGTGGGACAGGCTCACTGTGGTGCATCCCGGCTGCTCCACACACAAAGCCAGTGTTTCATCAGTTATTATTTAGATGGAGGTGCCTGGAGGTGTTCATTTTTAACCTGTGGTTCCAAAATCCCTCGGGAGCAGCCGTGAGTCAGGGGGAGGTGGGTGGAGGGACCTGCCTCAGGTGGGAGTTTGGTGGGGAGGGAAAACTGTCCCAAAGCAGCTGCAAGGGGAACACTTGGGGCGTTCACACCCTGCTCCTGAGAGGTTCTAAAATTCAACATCAAGGGGGAAATATGTAAGTGCAGAAGCTCTTGGGTCCCACGAGGAAGGTGCTCAGACTCACCCTGGGGGCAGCTGGAGCTCAGGGCGTGGCTGAGGGGGGAGCAGGAGGGACAGGACCTGTGGGCAGGGTCACTCTGCTGCACCCTCAGGATGCCCTGGGGGCATTTCCATCCTGCTCTGTGTGCCTTCCCTCAGCTCAGCCCAGCTCCTGCCAGCTCTCCTGGGGCTTCCCCTGTGCCCAGCAGTGCTGCTGCAGGTGATCCCACACCCTCCACTGCACCAACAGCACTTATTCACTCCAGTTCTTCCTCCTGCTGGTTCAGGGTGGGTTTTCCAACAACTTTATTGCAGTCCAGCTGCTGTCAGAGGCCTGTGGGGCCCGATCCATGCTGGAATCACAGAATCCCAGGATCGCCCTCCGGGATCACTGAGCCCACCCTGTGCCCCATCCCCACGTTGTCACCCAGCCCAGAGCACATCCAGTCATCCCTTGGACACCTCCAGGGACCCTCTCCACCCTTCAGGGGTTCTGTGGGATTTCCTGGGATGTGGGGAGTTAATCCTTGAGCTGTGTGATCCGAGTGTGCCACGGCCCTGCTTCCCAAATTGCTGGGCTGGATTCTGTCACCTGCACTGAGCAGAGTGGGGTGATTGTCCTTTCTGACCTTGACACCTATTTAAATCAATCAGGGGGGAAAGGCAGCATGACAGAAAGCAGGGGACCCCTCTGGGCCACGTCCTGGCACCTCTTCCCAAAGCTCCTTCCCTTCCCCAGAGCCAGAGCAGCCCCAGGCAAGCCTGCAAAGATTTCCCAAGGTGTGAGCCAGCATAACAGGAGTTTGCAGGGGTTTCTTGGTGTAAATTGCAGGATTTAAAACAAGTTGTCTCTCCGACTTGGCTCTCCTGGTGGGTTCTTCAGACAAGAAATCAGATTGAGACACCAGAGCACCATTTAAGCACCTCAGTAATTCACTGAGGTGCTCGTAAAGAGGCAGAGCCAAGTCTCAGTGTGTGAGATTTGGGGCAGGAGCCAAGGAACCTCCCAGTCCCCATTACCTGAAGTGTGTGGGTGCATGTTCTGAGCACCCAGAGCCCAGCCAGCAGCCCTGGGGCAGGACAGGGAGGCTCCTCCAGCCTCCTTTCTCTCCTCTCACTCAGTGTCCCTTCCCTTCCTCCCTCAGGGCTGCCTCTGCTTCTCCCTCTCTCTTGACTGTGGGTTTGCTGGTGTAACCTGGGTTTGTGTTTGGTGGCTCTTGAGATGTGAAAAGTGTGGGAAATATCCCTCAAAATCAGGGTTTAATGAGGAATTCAGTTCCAGCCTGTGGCTCGCTCAGGGGGGGCGAGGGCTTTGTCCTTGGAGTCCTGTCAGCCTGTGGAGCCAGGCTGGGAGAGCTGGGGGTGCTCAGCTGGAGAAGGGAAGGATCCAGGGAGACCTTGGAGCCCCTTGCAGAGCCTAAAGGGGCTCCAGGAGAGCTGGAGAGGGACTGGGGACAAGGCATGGAGGGACAGGACACAGGGAATGGCTTCCCGCTGCCAGAGGGCAGGGAGAGATGGGAGATTGGGAAGGGATTCCTGGCTGGGAGGGTGGGGAGGGGCTGGGCTGGAATTCCCAGAGAAGCTGTGGTGCCCCTGGATCCCTGGGAGTGTCCAAGGCCAGGCTGGACAGGGCTTGGAGCAACCTGGGCTGGTGGGAGGTGTCCCTGCCCATGGCAGGGGGTGGCACTGGATGAGGTTTAAGGTCCCTTCCCACCCAAACCAGTCTGGCATTCCATGATCCTGCTCTCTGATCCGTGTCACCCACGTGCAGCCATAACCTGGATTTTCAGGAGTAGAACCCAGGGGAAGGTGAGGGGGTGGTGCTGTGCTGTCAGGATTCCACGTTGCTGTTCCTCAGGCTCTGTCAGGAGTGGGTTTTTGCTGGAATTCCTGCCTGAAGGTCCCAGGGATGGATGCCTTCAGCTTCCTGAACGTGTTATAAAACAATGGGCCGTGCCCACGCACAAGGGTAGGGAGTAAAAATAGCTGCCGTGTCCCTGTGGAGAACAAATAGTGTCAGGGAGTGGAAGTGGGGTGATTCCTGCAGGGTGGGCGGGCTGGGGAAGGAGGGGGAGCACTGATGGAGCAGGGACTGACTCATGGAGCTCTTGACACTGTCCCAGATGGTATTTGCATAAACCAGCGAGGTTTAAACGTGGCCTGGGTGGATCTGCTGTCGTGTGGGTGCAACACCAGCGGGAAAGCTGCAGTCAGGGAAGGCAAACATTGGTGTTTTCCTCCCCGGGGGAGCACGTGGCAGGTGGGATCCCACGGGATCAGCTCCCAGCGTTGCTCAGTCCGTGTCCTGCAGGGTGAAACAGGGCACAGCCACAGCCCAGTGCCACACTGGGGGGACTGGGGTTCTCCAGAGGGCAGGCTCTGCATCAGGCTGGTCCTGAGGGTCACTGTTCCACTGCCCATCACCTCTGCCAGGCTCCTTCCTCTGCAGGAGAGCCCTTGGGATGAGTTAGAATGGAAAAGGCCTTGGAGCCTGTGGTGGTTCCAGCAACGTGCCTGCCACAAACCACAGCTGAAATGAAGCTTTTCAGCACCTGCCAGTGGCTTGCTTAAGAATTCCTGTGAGTGGTGGTTCATGTTGGGTCCCCCCATCACAAACCCCCTGTTCCACAGGCTGCTCCTTAGCCTGGAGGGCTCCATGCCAGTAATTCCATTTTACCTCTGTTTTATAAGGCCTTGCTCTGCTTCTGGCAGGCGCCTCTGACATGTTGCTGCACATAACAGGGAAAGAAAAGGGTTTGTGTGTCCAAAAATGTGGGGTTTGTTTGCCTGGTCTCAGTCTGTTGGTGGTGAAAGCAATAAATGCCACGTTTTCAGAAAAGGCTCCTGAAGGAAAAACTTCCTGGGCTTGTGTGGGGGAGGAATTAAGTGCAGGTGGTGAAGTGGAAGAGTGGCTGGAATACCTGGCAGGAATGACAGATGGAATAATGCTGAAATAATAGTGACACCTGCCCAGGAACCATCTCTTAGGTAATGATTTGATCTCACATCTGCACTGCTCACCTCCCTCTGCATGGGCCACATTCCAAGTGGGACAGCAGAGGGATTCCTGCCATCATCATCATCATCATCCTCCCCCTGGGCTGGGGAGGGTGATGGGGCAGAATCCCCGTGTCACCCTTTGGGTGGGGAAGGGAGGGTTGTGTCCTTGTGTGCAGTGCCTGGGCCATAAAAAGAACCATTTTGCTGCATTTTCCCAGGGTTTTTTCCCCATTCTCCCAGTTCCTGCTCCTGTCGTGAGCGTGGCAGGAACCAGCACCTGTTAAATGGGCTGTGCAGAGAAATAGTTATTTATTACTCGTTTTGTTCTGGTTCTGTATTCCCTGCAATCGATCCCTGTGCATGGAAATAACCAAAACTGCAGCAGCTTTGTTTTCATGAGTCCTCAAACCAAGCAGCAAAGTCCATCACATCCCCAGTCCCTGTCAGGGGGCAGCACTGCCCACACCAACCACGCCAATTTGTCAGATTTGCCTCAGATTTTTTTTCTGGTGGATCTGTGCTGTGAGAGAAGGAGCCTGGGCACTGTCAGCTCTGGTTTTAGACACAGTAATGAAGCTGCAGCTGTGGTTTGGGGGTTTGGGGGTGTTTTCCTGCAGGAAGGGATGTTCATGGAAAGGGTGGTCAGGCACTGGCAGGGGCTGCCCAGGGAGGTTTGGAGTCCCTGGAGGTGTCCCAGGAAGGCCTGGCTGTGGCACTCAGTGCTCTGGGCTGGGGACAAGGTGGGGATGGGGCACAGGGGGGATCCATGGGCTGGGAGGGCTTTTCCAACCTCAGGGATTCTGTGGAATGTTCCTTGAGCACCTGCAGGGACGGTGACTCCACCACCTCCCTGGGCAGCCCCTCCCAGTGCTTAAACCTCCCCAGATGTCCCTCTGAGCCATGTTCCTCCATCCCCAGAAGGTGTCCCACCCCTGACTCCTGGCAGCACGTGGCCATTTTTACCAACTCCCCTGGTTTGTTTGGATTTGTCCCCATTAGTTTTGATTTGTCCCCATTGTTTGGATTTGTCCCCGTTAGTTTGGATTTGTCCCCGTTAGTTTGGATTTGTCCCCCTTGTTTGGATTTGTCCCCATTGTTTGGATTTGTCCCCATTGTTTTGATTTGTCCCCATTGTTTTGTTTTGTCCCCGTTTGTTTTGATTTGTCCCCATTGTTTTGTTTTGTCCCCATTGTTTTGTTTTGATTTGTCCCCATTGTTTTGTTTTGTCCCCATTGTTTGGCCCCGTTTGCTCCCGATCCCCTCCCTGCTCACGTTGTGTTCTCTCTGCTCTCTCTGCCTCTCCCTCCCCCCCAGGTCCCAGCCCAGCCCGGACCCCCCCAGCGCGGTGGCCGACGAGCACTCCCTGATAGCCACCTACGTGAGCCGGCTGCAGCACGGGCCACGGTCAGTGCCAGGGGCAGGGCACAGCCAGGGCAGAGCCAGGGCAGTGCCAGGGGCAGGGCAGAGCCAGGGGCATGGGCAGTGCCAGGGCAGTG